CTGTCGCTGTATACACTGGGAAAGCAAAGAGGACAACAAAAAGGAACCTGTTGTTGTGGGGATTCCAAGAACGGTTCTCTCTATCGGGTTTCCATCGAGACCCCAATACAAGCTGTGTAACAAATTGTACTAACCAGTCTGGTGATGTGAATTGCGTTCTATTTTTAGTTCTGGTATTAAACTGTTACTGGCGTCTATTCCCAACTTGTATGATTGATATGGTATCTCGTCGTCTGATTCTTAGTATTCTGAAAGCAGCAGTGCAAATGCCATCCGTTGCACACGACTTGTTCTATAGGATGAATCTGCATACTTGGATAGCTTCTATCATCAAAGTCAGTGGTATTTCTTCATGAGCGCTTTGATGTTGTAGCGTTTTACATTATCCAATCCAATCCAGCTTGTATGTATTCGCATAGGATCTGCGGTGCACTGCGATGGAATTTTTGTGTAGAGAATCTCAAGGTGTGATCTGAGAATGGAGTTAAGGCTATCCCTTGGGTAGTCCCAACGAGCGGAGTCACCTAACGGATAACTGGTGACTGTGGAAGGGGGGGGGTCTCTATGTAAGTGGTTCGTAATTGATGAAATTCACACCATGTTCTAGGAAAACTTAAGTGTTTCTTGAGATATTGGAAAAATTTCAACGACATTTGGAGCCGACCCGTCTCATCATTGAAATTCACTCCTGCTTGACGTACTCTAGGAAATGAAAAATGAAATGGAGTTGGGAACTGTCCGAGCTAAGCTTTAATAGGATTGACCAAAGTCATATCTATAGGAGCGAACACCGAGTTATTTTCCAACACAATGGCGGCCCTAGGTACAGCGTAGTCTCAGGATTTGCTGTGAGTGCGTCCAGAGTAATTTCAGTGATTGCGCTGCCGACAGTCGAACCACCGACTTGAGTCACTCATTTTTCCTTGGCAGTTATGTGTGAGTATTGCTTCCGTGACTGTTACTGAAATTTGTGAATTCTAGAATCGTGACCTAAGTGTGTGGGAGCAGTGCTACTTGGGACAGATCTATTCGATTCTTATCGAAAATGAACGAAAGAATTGTCGAAATGGCAAAGGAGCTGCTACAAGAAATTCATATTTAGTTGCACTAGCAAGTGTTCGGATAACTGCTCGCGTGGTGAGTATTTTCTCTAGTTAGGAAGTGATCTAAGGAGAGAACAGCACTAAGGAACTCTATCGAACTACAGGTGCTATATGTCATGGAAAATATGGTTGACAAAGCTATAGCAGCAGAGAACGTGGAATCGATAAAAAATACCATGGAGAAGAAATGGCGACAGAAACGAAAGAAACGAGAATCTCAGTGATAGGGTTGCTGGTTATTGGCTTATTTCAACAACTGCAGGGGTTTGCCGGTTTTTCAGTGTGCCTTATGTTGTCATGTTGCTAACAGTATTGTTCTTGTTATTGTTTTCGAATGTGTTATTTTGTTGAATTTGTCAATATATCATATTATAGATCACCATCTTGTGATGGAAAGCTATAAACCGTTTTTGTGAAGTCTGGTAGCAAAGGTGTCTCACAATTAGATAAAATCAGACGTGAACTCGAGGGTGCTTTCACGTGTTTTTGGTTAACCTTCTCGCTCTGTGAACGACGTAAGCGTTTCAGTAACTTTAAGCTGACTGGAACGTTTTGTTCGCTCAAAGGTTGGCCGAAACTCTGAAACGTGTACTAGTGAATGTGCCTAACCTAATATACTACAATGCCTAGTAATCAGACGCATGAAATCTTTACGACAATAGAAATAACATAGTAATGACCTATGCATGTAAAACCATCAGGTGAGGTGGGTTATGGTTGCTCGCTGCCGTAAACAGAAGGCCAAATGTAGGAAAAGTTGCTCAGGATCATGTACAGGAATCGGTAAGCTTACTGGTCATCCCTGCACTCTGAAAATGTCGTCTCCCCTAGAAAATGCTGTAGTGGAAATGTTAGGGAAAAACTGGTAAAATAAGAGGAAAATGAGGAAGGAAAAAAGTAAAGGAAATATTTTTTGCGGGCGTTATTGTGGAGGTTATATAAGCCCCCCCCCCCTCCCCCCCCCCCGCTCGGTGTTTTTGGGGTAAAAAGAAGTGATGGTTGTGAAGAAGGGGTATTATGAAATATGTCGTTAAGGGGGGTCGTGAAAATTTTGCGAAAAGTAGCAACGATAGGAAACCGACCCGACCCCGGAGGGATGGAAGGCTTGGTTGGCCCGGGCGACTCACGACCCAGGATTTGATCCCCGGACCGCTCGCGTGGTAAGCGCGCCACTTGTCACTACACCACTTCCGCCCTACACTGTCGCCCCATAGGAAGAATTACTCTTACCATTTAGTAGAATATCGCTTATACTGTTACTGGGACTCTAGGTGAGTGCAATGAGTGGAAGAGTAAGTTCTAGGAAGAATTTGGGAGAATAAGCAAAATTCGCGAAAGAGTCATATACACATGGATCGAAAAATGCGGCGCCACCATGGGACGCATAAGAACAGATTTGAGGCAATCACGAATAAGGTTTATGGGATCGTCAGTTGAACCATCCACGGAACGGTGGAGAACGTCGCGCTTTCCCCTGTTCTCTGCGATGATTCAGTCTAAAATCTTTTCAAGGATCCTTACGTCCAAGGCAGCGCTTAAAGGCACAACCCAGGCAGAGGTCGTGTGAACTCTTCTCTTCGGTCAGAAGTATAGAACCCTAGGGGACAATCACAAATGTGGCGTTCACGTGCACGGAATTCGACCGACAAGAACGCTTTGGGCTTGCAAAGTAAGCTGCTCGAGCTGCAGCGAACGAGCTCTCTTATCAGGCCGTTGTCTGGTGCTCTCTCATCTGATGCGCTCTCTCGCCCCATACTCTCCTCTTCGCGCTTAGTCTCTCGTTCCCTTTAGCACAGCCAATTAGGAAGGTGAGTGAGCCCTCAACCTGAGCGTTTTCGACGGATTCTTTTCCTTTTTTCTTCACTGCCGGCCCACTTGGCACCGATACATTCACATTCGTGTGCAAGAGCCACACCAGTGCGATCCTGGGGCATGCCTTTAAAAGACGACGCGTTCATACTTCACAATTCGTAAATTATGTGATAATGATGAAATATGCTTGGTAAGCAGATAGGGAACCAGTAGATTAGGGTAGCAGAAGGTCAGGATATCTCGTATCAGATTGGATACATATCGAATGAAATCACTGGAGAAAAGTAGATTACCAGATCAGGATCGATATGACCCTGGTCTTCTGTCATGTTGGATACTGCACACTGTTCATCAAAGGTTGTGGTTGAAACAAAGTGGTTTAAAAGCTATTTTTATTTAAAAAGTATTACCAAACACAAATCAATTTATAAATATGGCAGGAACTGATACATTAACAAACAGATTACTTCCAAAAATGCGTTTATAGTACTAGTCCTTGAACCCAGTCTTCGTGAGGCTGATTTTCGGTTTATGTTTGAGACACGGCGCATTTCCCTGAATCATCAGATTGTCTACCCTCGCCTTCAAATGACCAGAAATTGTGCAATTGCAGAAATTGACGTGGCATTGGCACACGTGGCTAAATTCTCGATGAAAAGGTGACGTCACGTGTGCTCAAAGATGTTCTTGAATCGATGCCACGTTAATGCCACGTCAATTTCTGCAATTGCACAATTTCTGGTCATTTGAAGGCGAGGTAGCTACGTTGCCTGCACTATATAGATATAGTCGCTAAGTTGGCTCGAGCGTACACAGCATACGCCCGATGGCATGTATCGATTGCGGAACTGCGTGCCATGCCTTTGCTTATCGATCGCGGCGAAGACATGGCACGTTGTTCCGCAGACTAATACACAAGCTAGTGTCGCACAACAATATAGTGTTATCTTACCTTCGTCTAATCGGAAAGTACTAGGACTTTCGTAAATGCTATAGACACATCTGAGACGGTTCCGATCATTGTCTTTGGCATATTTGCTCGGGTAGAGCTTCGGATCGTAGTATGGCAGTGCGCCTGACGAAAACCAAATAAGGGGGGCGCATACTCATAACAAAAATATTAGGTTGGCAAGAAAGTCCTGCAACACTTTTTCAAATTTTTGATTTTAATTTTATCTTTTTTGTTTACAACTCCTGACCGGTCATATATCTACCATGAGTGTCCACCACTTGTCTTCAACGCTCAGAAAATTTCTTGATGCTCCTTTGCCAAAACCCAGCGGAGTGCGGGTCGAGAAAGGAGGCGACCTCACTTTCGAGTTGGAGTTGATCGTCTAATTATTTCGTTATCAAGATGATGATGATTTAAAGTCTGTGCTTCGTCATTTATAGCTCGACCAGGGGATTACGCTAAGAGAGGAAAGAAATCTTGCCGCAACTCCAGAATTTCTTACCGGGCTTATTTCGGATCATGGTGATTCGCAATGTCATGAAAGAAATGAATATTGTCGCGGTACGAGGGCTCTTGACGAGCTGCCTCGGCCAGCTTCTGGTATTCCACAGCCTAGGCCTCTACCTACACAATGGTGCCCATAACGAAGGATATGTAGTGGAGCTTCTGTAAGAGCCCTACCTGTAATGGAGTGTAGGGACGCTGCTGGCTTCTTATAAAAATATCAAAAGATCGGAAGCGCTGGTAAAGGTGAAACACGCTGTAGCGGTGAACGACATGCCTATTGAAGCTATTGCAGATAGTGTTGGTCTTGACACGAATCCATAGTTATGTAGACATTTGTACTAGACAGTGACTCGGAGTGTGGATTAAACCCTAGTGGTCGAGGTTTTTGAATTACCATAGATATTACTACTACTACTGCAGCACTTATCCACCTCGTGGATTAAAGCCTCGAGAATGCTCTACCATTTGTTAGTCATAAATGTTACCTATGGATTGTTCAGAAAAAAAGAAAATTTTAGAAAGAGTGTCGCAGGACTTTCTTGCCAACCTAATACTTTTAAGCAGACT